GTGAAATACAAATGATAAGTGGATAAGGTCTCTACTCTCAAAGAGGTCATAGTCGAGTGGGAAGAAAGGAGACAGAACTGGGTAGAGGTGGGAATGTGGAGATGCTGTAGGAAGGTGCTTGCTGCCCAGCACTGAAGGTTCCCAATATGCAGTAGAATGGGACCCTGAAAGAGAAATAGGGATGTCACCATTGCAAAGGCCTTTGAACTTACCTCAACATTGAGAAGAGGACAAAGGAGGATGAGAAATGAAAATGTAAACAAAGTGAGGCAAACACCTTAGCAGCGAAGGAAGTGGATGGGTCACTTGAACTCCATTATGATAGTCAGATTGGGCCAAAATTGCAATCACTCCAACTCAGTTACTCAAAAAAAAATTGGAAACCTTTTGACTCACCTTTTTTATTATTTTTATAACATCAATGTACTCTGTACCCAAAGGATGAAATGTTCACCACACTTGAAAAACAAAGTCTTTTCAAACTGAAGGGAGTAATTCTAAGAAAAACAAGCAGTATCCTACCAATGAACAAGGAGAGAATAAATGGCATGCAATTTGGAAGGAAAGCTAAGGGGAACTATTTGGGGGATTCAGTTCAGCTAGCAATTTTCCTTTATGACCTAAAAGATTTACTTAGTCTCAAGTCACCATAGGAAAACCATAAACTTGTTTGAAAATCTGGAGGGGGAGGCCATGTGAAAAGCTATTCTTACCTATACAAATAAAAATAAAATGGGACTCAGTATGGTTAAAATAAGGATTCCTAAATTCATCCAGCTGAAGACACAGTTTAAAATCTGACTGTTTGAGAAAGATCTTTTTATATCTTCTGTTTCTGCAGAGTCACTGTCCCTTTGATAACCATTTACTGAGCCGTTCTTATATGAAGGCATTCTGTTTAAAGTTGTGAAGAACATAAATATGAATAAGCCAGAGTCTCTGACCTCAGCACTTATAAAAAAAGATTTTGTTATGATATCTCCAGTTTCATCTTCCACATCTCAATCAAAACCAAAAAAACTTTCAGTTCCCAAATTATCTTCCCCTGCTATCTGAAACCTGGCCCTTTATCTTCTTCACCTCTGAGCCCTGCCACTATCCTCCATTCCAACCCCAGCATTTCCCAAGAGCTAAACTGTGCTTCAGCTTAAAAACACTGACACAGAAAGTAGTTTATTTCCTCTGATTTGTGTCTATAGAGAAAGCCAGAAGAGCAGCTCAGTTCATGGGAACTGGGTAGACATAGCATCTCCATCAGTCCAGGTATGGCCTGTGGTCAGAAACAAGACAGTAGGTGTAGAAGAGACACGGGCTTTGTGAGGCAGGGGTAGGAGAAGGCTGGAGAAGCTATGCCATAGTCCTGGGCTCCCTAAAGTCTCTCTGAACACCTCTTCTTTGGTTGAGAAACACTGAGAATGCTAGAGGTGCTTGCTCCAGAAAATAAGTCTGAAGTATGAAAGAAGAGAGAGACTCCCCCTAAAAATCCAATTACCTTTGATAAAGCAGACTTGCCTAAGAGGGTGGGCCTCTCAATTAATTGTGCTTTTTCCTTTTTGCCCCATTTAGATGTTTATGGGGACAGAGGTCTTACTTTCTAGAATTCTTTTGTCATTTTTCAGTGTTTACAACTGAAAGTCTAGAAATCTAACAATCTGGCTTTCTAAAACTATAAGTAATTTATGCCTATTCCACAAAGGAATTTAATTGTATCCAAAGTTAAGAAAAAGTATATGGGGACTTTTGTGGACTATAATTTATACATATCTTTATACTAGAGGCCCAGTGCACGAAATTCATGCACTGGGGGAGGGGGTGTCCCTCAGCCCAGCCTGCACCCTCTCACAATCTGGGACTGCTGGCTCCCCACCACTCGCCTGCCTGCCTGCCTGATTGCCCCTAACTGCTTCTGCCTGCCAGCCTGATCACCCCCTAACTGCTCCCCTGCCAGCCTGATTGATGCCTAACTGCTCCTCTGCCGGCCCAGTTGCCCCCAACTTCCCTTCCCTGCTGGCCCGGTCACCCCCAACTGCCCTCCCCTGCCGGCCTGGTCGCCCCCAACTACCCTCCCCTGCAGGCCATCTTGTGGCTGTGGACACCGCCATCTTTGAGGGTGGGATGGTCAATTAGCATATTCTCTTCTTATTGGCTGTGGGTGCCACCATCTTTGAGGGTGTGGCAGTCAATTAGCATATTCCCTCCTTATTGGCTGTGGGTGCCACCATCTTTGAGGACAGGGCAGTCAATTAGCATATTCCCTCTTTATTAGATAGGATAATAATTGATCTTCAAATCATGACTAAGAGTATAACTACATTATTCTTAGTTATCTATCAATATCATCAGACTTCTTCAGAGAAATAACGGCTATCAAAGAGATAGTTAGGACATTGCACATATATGTAAATATATATATAACTTTTAAAGTTGCAGTTGTATTGGTTATATTTATTCTTTGTACCTTATGTGCCTTAACCAATAGATCTGAGACCTAGAACTAGAGACCAAGTCATTAAAATGCACTGCTTACTTAATGCTAGCCTGTTATACTAACTTCTGTGAGTATAGTGTGGTGCCATACTTGATGGTGACCTTCACTGTCCATGAATGTTTATAGCACAGTAGAATCCAAATCTCATTTGACATGAGAATGACACAGCCTGGAGATAAGCATTGTTGCTAAGTCAGGACCATCACATCACTCTGGTGATATCACACTAGATGGGTTCATTACACTTAGCACATAGGGTTAAATGGGCAAGTTCTACCAAGAAATATACATTAATGTATGGGTCCTTTGGAAGCTCTTATATACACAAAGCTTTTACATGACCAAACTATAAATGACATACAAGTCCTAGAAAACTAATCACATTTTCAGAAAAAGTACATGGTGAATTTTGTGGACTCAGAAGGGTTCCCAGAATCAGTGATGTTTAACCATATCTTCATTTTCTAGTATATTATATTCTGTATCAGTGCTTTCAACTACATTTCCAGATGGTAAAATTGACTTTTATACGAGAAATATTATAAATCACTCCTAAACTCAAATAGACCACAGCATTTACAAAAATTCAAATATATTTTATACCAGAAATATGAAAGGCTCATAGTCCCTCAACATCAAAAAATATTTCAACATAAATAAGATGGATGGTACCCAAGAATGTTCAAATTCAGAAAAAATTCAAAGGTACTCAGAGTTTCACTCATCGGTTAAAGAGACATCCCCCTTCCTCCACCCCCCTCCCAAAAGGTTAAGACCAAAACATAGGTTAAGACCTTAGTTAGATAATGTAATTCCTAGAAGAATCTGAGTCTGTATACATGTAACACTAAAGTTATACTAATTGAAGAAATTTCTATCACTGTAACTTAAACACTAAAAGGAAATAGACATTCTCAAGACTTACCCCTTGATAATGTCTGCATATTACTATGTATGAAAGTCAAATCAGCAGTTCTATGTCAAAATCTTAAACTCCAGTGAACATCTGAGGTTTATCCCTGTAGAATGGACATGAAAAAGTACCAAATTGCCTCTTGATTTTTAATCCCCGAATGATCGCTAAATGTTTCCATATTCTTCCTTCTATATTAACAGTATTGCATTTTTTCTTCCCATATTTACCATTATTCATAGGTCTCTTGCCATCTTCCATAAGTTCTAAGCTATAATACCACTGACACTGTGCTAAAGAAATAATAAAGTGAAAGTGAGTAGAGTCACATAAAATACTTTGATTTGGTAATACTCAAAACACTTCATTATTTTATATCTCTTTTAAAATACAGCCTTGCAAATCAGTATTTTTAAAATCTAGAGATTTTTAGGCGTATCTTTTTTATATAATGCATAGAAAACTAGACGACTCTGCCCATTTTAAGAAAGGCCAATATAAAATCTTGTGAAAAACTAAGGCAATTAATTTGATTTAAGGATTAACCACTTTGGGATCATCGGTATATTTTTTCCCTTAATCACAGAAATAGAACTTAAGGAATCCTGAATTCAAGAGGCACAGAATTACTGATAGTAAATGGATGGCTGCCACTGATAGATAGAGACCTACTAAAAATCAAATTGAGCCCTAGCTGTTTTGGCACAGTGGATAGAGCATCGGCTTGCGGACTGAAGGGTCCTAGGTTCCACGGGGTTGTGGGCTCAATCCCCAGGGGGCGGGGCCGGGTGCAAGAGGCAGCCAATCAATGATTCTCTCTCATCATTGATGTTTCTATCTCTCTCACCCTCTCCCTTCCTCTCTGAAAACAATAAAAAATATTTTTAAAAAAATTTAAAACGAAAAAGTTCTGAAATTACAGAACAAGCCTATGGGAAAATATCATTGAATTCACAGAAATCTGCTTTACATATAGATTTTCACAAACATATGTACTGGATATGTAGGTAATATGACAGTTAATATGACAATATTTTGTACCCTTTCAAAATAATGTTTGCTATGCACTACAAAAGCTTAAAGCAGAGTGTGCGCCAGTAGGTGACTTGAGCTTTTAAAGAGGGAGAAAGGAGTGTTTATCCCCATACCCAGATGCGTGTGCTGTCACCACAAAACACTGACTGGCTAGTCCTAAACAGAATGTATTTTCTCAAAATCAAAAGCCACCATTCCAGGTCTTAGTAGGAGCTTATTGTCCAAGGGAAGAGTGGGATTGGTCCTTAGGGACAGTGATTCAATAGGTATTATTTCCTACATATTGAAATTAGTGAATAATTCTAAAACTGTCCTAGGAGAAGGAAAAAAGGCTTGAGCTTTAAAAATTGAAGTTGGCTGCATCGAAAGTGTTCACAGTGCTAAAAGGCTCATTCCCCATCCTTTGGTATTTTTTTTTTTCTTTCTTGCCCCTGCCCTATTATTTATTGGTTTCTTTATTTTTTGGTAGGCTTGCTCTTCTCATTTTGTTGCAAGGCTGCATTTTAACTTATCTGATTCTGCAGTTTAACACGGCCTGTGACACCTGTGTTCATTTGTTCTCAGCTGGTGAACGAACAGCAAGAAAGCAGACCCCTCCTGAGTCCCTCCATCGATGACTTTCTCTGTGAAACCAAATCGGAGGCAATAGCAAGGCCAGTAACGTCCAACACAGCTGGTAATTCTTTCACTTTTAACTGATCCTCGGGTGGAGTTCATTTTCACTGAAGTAAAATACACGTTTTCTTTCCACAGTGCATTTTAACTGGAGAAAAATGTTTGCAACTGACTAAAACTTTAGAACATTTATTATTCAACATAAGCCAATGAACCACTTTTCATTATGCTGTAAGAAACTGCGACGTATATATATTATACAACCAGTGTTGCTGAACATTAGCGTGCCACTATTAGCAATGAATGGTTTTTCCATACATATTTTCATATTTACATCTCATCTCAAGTCACATCACAGTAGGAAACCTTTAAAACAAAAGCATCTATTTCAGAGTAAGGGTTTTCAAGTTCTGCCTGGAAATACTTTGTCTGACAAAAGTCAAGTCAAGTAAAAATATAGGCCACCCCTTCAAGTGGATTGAAATGACAACTAAATGTCCTAGAGACTTGGGATATTATAGGCACTAACAAGTATTCATCCACTGAGGGATGTAAGAGGCCTCAGGTATGAATGCCACCTCCTCAAGCACCCTCTGCCTTTTCCAATTCTCACTGATACTAACACTAAGTCACTTAGGTAGGGCCCACCCTGAGGGAGCAACAAAAGATTTGACTCAAAAGCTAATTTTCACCTTTGATATCAGAGGCAGCTTTCAGCATTGATTTCAGTCAGTCAGCATTCACATTCAAAGGCATGTTGTTCAAATAAGAATGAGAAAATGATGTTCAGAATCAGAGAACAAAGGTTATGTTAGGTTGTGGGAGAGAATTTGACAGAGAAAGGAGGTGATAATCACATCCTGCCTCCTTAAATTCCTTCCATCTCCCATCCTGTCCTCAGCTGGCTGTTGCCTGCTATATTTTCATTATACGCTTAAATACCTGAAAAAATCACAGGTGAAGGAAATTGTGATTTTTTAAACAGGTGCTAAAAATTACAACAACAAACGTAACTAATACAAGACAGAGACATTTCTGTGGGAGTGTTGTCTACAGTCTCCGGGGTCCAAGTTCATAATTTCAAATCTCAGCTCGGCCACTTAGCAGCTCGGTGCGCTCAGGCAAGTTGCTTAACTAGGTCTACTTCCTCATCCACCTAATAATAGTAAGATCTAGATCTTCTCAGTTACTTGGGAAGACTAAACGAAGCAATCTATGTAAGTCTTAACTCCAAGTGAGCTCAACAGGTATTACCATTCCGGTTAGCTATCAGTTAAAAAAACAGGACACCCAACACTTCCCTTTTCAAATGCATTAACTTTCTGTATGTCACACCAAAGCAGTCATTTTCTACACTCAGCTATCACTTGGAGTAATCAAGCAAATGAAATTGTGTTTGCTGCATTTTAGTCATGAAATTGGGTAAATTCACATGCTATCCTATCAGAGTCATCTTTCTGATCTCTGAAACTGGAGCTTCCCCTCCAAAACTGTAGAGCTGCCCCCAGAAGAATCCAGAGGATGCTACAACTACGTCACTTAGGAGGAGCCCACCAGAAAGAGCCACACAATATTTGGCTCAAAAGCTACTTTCCCTTGGTTTTTCTAACATAGGAGAGACCTGTGAAATATTGGAGGGAAATATCAAAAGAATGTGTCATCTCCTACAATCCCAGTACCTACAGTATTGCCTCTATTATTAGTTTCTTAGGACTGCCATGGCAAAATATCATAAACTCCATAGATTAAACAACAGAAATGTATTTTCTCCCAGTTCTGGAACCCAGAACTACAAAATCAAGGTCAGTAGGACCATTCTCCCTCTGCAGGTGCTTGGGAAGGAGCTCTCTTAGGCCTCTCTTCTGGTTTCTGGCAGTTCCTTGGCTTGTGGCAGCATAACTGGAATCTCCACCTGACATTATTCCTGTGTGTGTCTCTTTCTGGGGAAGAGAAGTCTAAAAGTTTCCCCTTTTTATAAGGATACTAGTAGGTAGGCCCTACTCCATCATGAATCATCTTAACTAATTATATCTCCATTGACCTTATCACCTTTTTTTAAAATATATTTTATTGATTTTTTACAGAGAGGAAGGGAGAGGGATAGAGAGTTAGAAACATCAATGAGAGAGAAACATCAATCAGCTGCCCCCTGCACACCCCCTACTGGGAATGTGCCCGCAACCAAGGTACATGCCCTTGACTGGAATCAAACCTGGGATCCTTCAGTCTGCAGGCTGACACTCTATCCACTGAGCCAAACCAGCCAGGGCGACCCTATCACCTTCTGAGGCACTGGGGGTTAACTTCAACAGATGAGTTTTGGGGGGAACACAACTCAATCCATAATGCCCTCAAAGTAGGGGGTTGGGAAAAGTGATATTTTGAGGCTGGATTTTCCTTTTCTCAGCCTCAGCATTCAGTACATCTGGGTCCCATAGATTCTGATCCTGAAGAAAGACTCTTATTTGATAGTGTGCTTTTTAATCTTAAAAATTATATCTCAAGGCAGAAACACTATATGTTTTTAATCCCTAAGGAATATAGTTCTTTTTTATTATTATTACAAAACTACAATTTACATCTCAATATGCAACATAAATCACATCTTTAAACAGAAAAAGCTTTAGCATTCAAGCATCCTGGAAAGAATTTTTAATTTGTTCCAATAATTTTACAGTTAAATTTTTTAGGCAGGAGATAGAGTTACCATTTTCTTTCCAAATTTTTAATAAAAATAATAATTTTAAGATGAAACTCTCATTTTATAGAATAGCATGAAATTACATTGAGAAATCAGGACAGTCCTTGTATATGACATTCTAGGCATTACACTTCAAACAGATATTAAACAAACTTGGAGTAAAATATGGAAGAAACCCTGCTTCATGTTTGTACCAAGTCAATCAAGCTGAAATTTGAAGAACCTTATATTAATACTAGTGGCATGGTGCACGAAATTCATGCACAGGGGAGGGGGTGTTCCTCAGCCTGGCCTGCACCCTCTCCAATCTGGGACCCCTCGAAGGATGTTCTACTGCCGGTTTACAGGGATCGGGCCTAAACCAGCAGTCGAACATCCCTCTCGCAATCCGGGACTGCTGGCTCCTAACTGTTCACCTGCCTGCCTGCCTGCCTGATTGCCCCTAATCACTCTGGCTGCCGGCCTGCTTGCCCCCAACTGCCCCCCACTGCTGGCCTGCTTGCCCCCAAATGCCCCCCCACCAGCCTTATCACCCCAACTGCCTCCCCCAATGGTTTGCTCGCCCCCCCTTCCCTCCCCACTGGCCTGCTCATCCCCAACTGCCCCCCTGCTGTCAGGCTCACTCCAAACTGCCCCCCTGCTGTCCTGATCACCTCCAACTGACCCCCACTGATGGCCTGCTTGCCCCCAACTGGCCCCCCTGCTGGTCTGCTTACCCCCAACAGCCCCGCCCCCCACCAGCCTGATCACCCACAACTGCCCTCCCCTCTTGGCCTCTAACCGTCTCTACCTCAGCCCCGCCACCATGGCTTTGTCCAGAAGAATGTCCGGAAGGTCTCCCAGTCTAATTAGCATATTAACTTTTTATTAGTATAGATAGAGGCCTGGTGCACGGGTGGGGTCTGGCTGGTTGGCCCTGAAGGGTGTCCCGGATCAGGGTGGGGGTTCCCTTGGGATGTGGGGCAGTCTGGACAAGGGGCCTGTGGTGGTTTGCAGGCCGGCCATGCCCCCGTGGAGTGAGAGTCCCTGCTGGGGAGGCGTGGCCTGCCTGGGTGAGAGGCTGAGGGCTGTTTTCAGTCTGGCCACACTCCCTTCAGGGTTGGGGTCCCCACTGGGGTGCCTGGCCAGCCTGGGTGAGGGGCTAAGGGCTGTTTTCAGGCTGGCCACAGCCCCTTCAGGGTGGGGGTCCACACTGGGGTGCCTGGCCAGCCTGGGTGAGGGGCTGAGGGCTGTTTGCAGGCTGGCCACAGCCCCGGGCAACCCAGGCTCCCAGACCCTCCTTGAGCAGAGGCCACAGCGGCTGGAAGCAGGTATCTGGGATTTATTTATCTTCTTTAATTGAAACTTTGTAGCCTTGAGCGGAGCCCACAGCCCGCCAGGGCAGGCAGGAAACTTGGCTTCCTCCATCGCCAGGGGCAACCCAAGCCTCCTGTTTGCTCCAGCTCTGTGGCCGCCGCCATCTTGGTTGGGTTTATTTGCATACTCACTCCTGATTGACTGGTGGGCATGGCTGGTGAGTGTAGTGGAGGTACGGTCAATTGCATGTTTCTCTTTTATTAGATAAGATAAGAGACATTTATTCTGGCTATTTTCTTCCAATGAAAAATTAAAGTCAGTGTGCTACCATCTTGGCATTTACTTAAATGTTTAAGGAATATATTCTTATATAAATTAACACAAAATAAACAATATAGGAAATATTCATCTCTTCCAAACATCAGTTAAATAATGAGTTGGTTTTTTTCTTTACTGACCCTAAAAATACATATCAATTTTTTTGCCTCATAGACATTCTAAATTATAATTTTTTCTTAAGTATTTCAGTGATCTTTGCCTTCTGCTTGTTTTTCTACACACTTCTTGTCATCCAATGATGACAATTTCAAGCTGATCAAATAAGGGTGTTTTTTTTTTCTTTGCTATTAACAATCCAAACCATCTTTAACTTATCTGTAACCTATGTAGATAGCTAATTCTTTGACCTTCTCAAACTGTATCCATAGGTGGTAGGTAGGCCAAGATCAATGCTAATATCCTTGATTTAAATATGGCAAATAAATTATATACAGATGCATATATTAAATGTTCTGAAAGTAATTATACAATAGATATGTTAAGATAGTGATTATATTATAGGGCAAATAATTACTATAAGTCTTGCAATAATAACTTGTCTGTATTCTTCCCCAAAAAATCTAATCTATGTCTAAGTACAGGAAAGATTCTTCTAAAACCCAAGAAAAATCATTACTTGGTTTGCATTTATCAGTATCATAATCTAAAAGAATTGCATCCATAAACTTGACCCATTAGGTGGACAGTTACTATATAAGAAAGATTTTTTTATGGTTTAAAAAATA